CTGCAGATCAGCACCACTCACCAAGTTCGTAGAGAACGAGGGGAGGTAGAGACCTGACAGGGTGCCAGAGGGGGCTGCCGGACACGGCAAGACAGTGGAGAAGTGGGCAAGGACAGGACCCCCAGAGGGGTCCGCCACTGGCCGACTAAGCGGCGTAAGCGTGGTGCGATCTCGAAAGAAGGAGCGGGAAGCACCCGAGTCAAGGGTGAAGGTGTGTAAGGCCTGAGCCGACGTGGTACCTGAGAGAGCAGACTCACCAGCACCTGGGGCAGCAGACACACTAGCACCTAGAGCAGCAGCCTCACCAGCACCTAGAGCAGCAGCCTCAATGCCCGGGTCAGGCGGAACACACAGGTAACAGTCACCCTCATCACTAGTAGGCAATGCATACATGGCAGTGAGGATAGCATCATAGTCAAGAGTATAGATATCTACCCGCAGCCTAAGCAGCTCCACCCAGTCTTGGAGCTCAGCCGCGTCGCCAAACTCCGTACGCCAGGCGTCGCTCAGACGGGCGAAGCAGCGGGACTCTGTGTGACCAAACGTCCCGCAAGGCTGACCAGTCCGAGCACCAGTGCGAATGACGTACGGACAGCGAGCAGTACCCCGTGACCCGCCACGCTGAGCGTACCACTCACGAAGCTGCTGGGGCGAAAGGACCGCGCACGGACGACGCTGCAGCTGCACCTGGCCACTACAAGCAGCTGCCGAACTACTCACTCCAGGACGACTCCCACTACGCCCACCCCGACAACCCCAAGTAGCGTACCACTCACGAAGCTGCTGGGGCGTGAGGGACTCACGCGGACGTCGCTGGAGCTGCATCTGGCCACCGCCAGGAGCAGCAGGAGCAGTGGTAGCCGCAGTAGCAGCAGCAGTAGCAATAGCAGTAGTCGCAGCGCGGCCACCCCTATAACCCCAACTAGCGTACCACTCACGAAGCTGTTGGGGGGTGAGGGACTCACGCGGACGGCGCTGGAGCTGCATCTGGCCACGCCAGGAGCAGCAGTAGCAGTAGAAAGAGCAGTAGCAGCAAGAGCAGCAGTAACAGCAGTACGGGCAGGGCAGTGCTCACCAGTGGCGAGAAGGGCAGGCTTACGACGGCGGCAACGGCGAGGCCGCTACCACTGTAGGGCGAGGGCTCCGCGGCAGCTGCAGGGGCGGCTGCTCCAGGGGCGGCAGTTGTAGGGGCGGCTGCTCCAGGGGCGGCTGCTGCAGGGGCGGCTGCTCCAGGGGCGGCTGCTGCAGGGGCGGCTTCTCCAGGGGCGGCTGCTCCAGGGGCGGCTGCTGCAGGGGCGGCTGCTCCAGGGGCGGCTGCTGCAGGGGTGGCTGCTCCAGGGGCGGCTGCTGCAGTGGCGGCTGCTCCAGGGGCGGCTGCTGCAGGGGTGGCTGCTCCAGGGGCGGCTGCTGCAGGGGCGGCTCCTCCAGGGGCGGCTGCTGCAGGGGCGGCTGCTCCAGGGGCGGCTGCTGCAGGGGCGGCTGCTCCAGGGGCGGCTGCTGCAGGGGTGGCTGCTCCAGGGGCGGCTGCTGCAGTGGCGGCTGCTCCTGGGGCGGCTGCTTCAGGGGCGGCTGCTCCAGGGGCGGCTGCTGCAGGGGAGGCTGCTCCAGGGGCGGCTGCTGTAGTGGCGGCTGCTCCAGGGGCGGCTGCTGCAGGGGCGGCTGCTCCAGGGGCGGCTGCTGCAGTGGCGGCTGCTCCAGGGGCGGCTGCTGCAGTGGCGGCTGCTCCAGGGGCGGCTGCTTCAGGGGCGGCTGCTCCAGGGGCGGCTGCGTCAGGGGCGGCTGCTCCAGGGGCGGCTGCTGCAGTGGCGGCTGCTCAAGGGGCGGCTGCTGCAGTGGCGGCTGCTCCAGGGGGCGGGTTAGGGCAGGGCGCCGCGGCGGGCAGGGGTGACGCCACGCGGGTCCCGCAGGGGCGTCGCGACGCACAGGAGCCGCGCCTCGCGGGTCCCGCAGGGGCGTCGCGACGAGGCAGGGGCGACGCGGCGGGGCCGCGACTGGCGACGGGGCGGGGCCGCGTCTGGCGACGGGGCGAGGCCGCGACTGGCGACGGGGCGGGGCCGCGACTGGCGACAGGGCGGGGCCGCTACGGGCAGCGGGGCGGGGCCGCGAAGGGGCCGCGAAGGGAGCCGCGAGGGGGCCGCGAGGGGGGCCGTGAAGGGGCCGCGAGGGGGCCGCGAAGGGGCCGTGAAGGGGCCGCGAAGGGGCCGCGAAGGGGCCGCGAGGGGGCCGTGAAGGTGCCGTGAAGGGGCCGTGAAGGGGCCGCGAAGGGGCCGTGAGGGGGCCGGGAAGGGGCCGCGAAGGTGCCGCGAAGGGGCCGTGAAGGGGCCGCGAAGGGGCCGCGAAGGGAGGCCGCGAAGGGGCCACGAGGGGCCTGAAGGGGCCGCGAAGGGCCGTGAGAGGGGCCGTGAGAGGCCGTGAGAGGGGCCGCTACGGGGCCGTAGGGGAGCGCGACGGGCCACCAAGGGCAGGGGACGCGACGGGAGGGTAGGCACACGGGGCGCGACTCGGGCAGGGGCGAAGCACGCTCCGGGCAGGAAAAAAAAATCGATATTCGGTGGGCCCTAGGAAACGTTCCCACTAGGGAACCTGCTCTATACCATGTGAAAGAACGAGGGATGGATGAACTAGCAAGCAGGTGGGTACAAGTAGGAAAACCTAAAAGTGTTGTACCCCATATTGTCTACCCCACTACAGCCTACACAGACTATAGCATATGAGTTTGACAACTGGCCGGAGCTGTTGACCGACGTGCAGCAGCACGTGGGCTCGTGCCCCACGTGTCAGGTGATGAAGAGCTCGAGGAAGCGGAAGGCGGGTCAATTGCAGCCGATACCACCGCCCGAGCGCGCGTGGCAGCAGGTTACCATGGACTTCGTCACAGGGTTACCTTCGAACCCTGGGGGTAACGACGCGGTGATGGTCGTCGTTGACAGGTTGACGAAGATGACACACTTCGCTGTGTGCAAAAAGTCGATCTCAGCCGAGGAGACCGCTCGTCTCTTCATCGCAGCCGTTGTTCGCCTGCACGGGATACCAGCAGCGATTATCAGCGACAGGGACACGAAGTTCACCAGCAACTTCTGGAAGAACTTCTGGGAGCAGTTCGGAACCAGGCTGCAGTTCAGTTCGTCGTACCACCCCGAGACCGACGGTCAAACGGAGCGGACAAATCAGACGATGGAGCAGTTGATTCGTGCCACGTGCGACGACCCCACGACTTGGGAGCAGCAGCTGCCGCTGATCGAGTTCGCATACAACAACGCCACGTCAGCGACGACGCACCAGTCCCCCTTCTACCTGAACTACGGGCAAAATCCTACAGTGCCCATGACGCCGAGTCCGGACAACCCAACACCACGCGCACAGCAATTCGCCGAAATTCTGCAAGCTGCCCGCACCAGAGCCGCAGAAGCAATGAAAAAAGCAAACGTCATTGCTAAGCGCAACGCTGACCGCCACCGCCGCCCAGTCATACCAGTCAGGGGATTACGTACTGCTCAACACGCAAAATCTGCGACTGCCCGACGTACCAAAACTTCGACCGCGCTACTGTGGCCCATTCCAAATCAGCCACATGATTACGCCAGTAACCGCGCACCTACTATTACCGACCGACTGGTACATCAGCCCTTCGTTCCACGTCAGCTTGCTTCGCCCATACATCCCAACCACAAGCCAACTGCCTCGCCACCGCCCGCCATCCATGACTCGCCCTGCATCAGAGCCGATCATCGAACCCGAAAAAATTCTGAGTCATCGGATTCGCCACCCCACGGGAATCAGGAGGATTGAATTCCTCGTTCGCTGGAAGGACCGCACGCCAACTGAAGATAGCTGGGTGCCCCTGGCCAACATTGAAAACCACCCTGCCCTGCAAGTGTACCTGAGGAGCCGGGGATTCCGCGATATACATGCACTCGCGTAGCGGAGGGGGCTTCTTGAGGGGGGGGGTAGTGTAAGGAATTTTCTCGGCATTCCTTACGGAGCCCGACTACATCGCGTACAGCAACAGCCGTTGTTCGCCCGTTACTGCTAACGGGACTTCGCCAACTTCGCGCGCACTGTTTTGCCAAACCTCGCACTGCTGGCCCGGCCGTGTCGGCCTACGCTTCGGGACTAGCCCGAGCCTCGCTGCCAGCATAGCACTAGCTAGCTCGCACGCACCGCGTTACCGTTTGCATGTTTCGCGTATAAATGTTCGCTCATGCCTTTCGCTCACATCTTTGTACTCGTTTGACACCTTAGTGCAATTCTCGCTACTTAGATTCATTGCACCCGTAACAACAAGTCGCAAGACACACAACCAATAATTTACTTTCGCATAGGCTAAACCCTGAACTCCTCGGTATCGTTCTGAACCGACCTTACTGAACAGAAATGAAATCCCAATCTCTAAGGTCCGCCGCCTTCGATGTTCTCTTCAAATTGGAGTTGGCCGACTCCCCCAACTGACCCAATTCCGTGGCTCCCAAGGGACGGGATTGGCTTGCGAGTGATTTGGAACTCCCAGGGTTGAAGACAGACCGCCATTATTCTTGTGTCAGACGCCTGTTGTAGCTCGTATTTCCTGAGTCCACTCCGAGTAATAATCGTCCAGCCCAGGCGTCAGTCTGAGTAAGGGCGGCCGCGCGTCCGTGACGGAAGCGTTCGAGTCGCACCGCCATGGGTGTTTCTACGATGAAACCACCACTCACGGCGAGTCCGCTGCACCCATCCCTGTCATACTATATAGCAGATCCTTGCCCCGTAACTTTTCACCAGACGCCATCACTCGAACCAGTCTCCGCATTTCAACTCAACCATCCGAGCAGCAGCCTCACCTCTCTCCCCGCCGACCTTCACCGATCAGAACCGATTCTCCTACGGCATTCTGATCTAGCCACTCGTTGATTCTCAGAGGCGAATCTCATCCATCCGTTCTGCGCGTCATAAGCCGTCGCCCACGGTCACTCCCCTCTCCCTGATCTTCAGCAGCCTTGAAAGTCGGATCAACTCGGCCGATCATGGCGATTATACTACCGTCGCTGCCGCGGTCTCCCCTTCTCCTCCTCCTGCTCGCGCTGGTGCTGCTCTCGTCGGCGCACCTCCCACTCCTCGCGCGCGCAGAGGAGTCGTGCTCCGCCTCCGCGCCCTGCGCCAACAACCTCTGCTGCAGCAAATGGGGCTGGTGTGGCTCCACCGTCGATCACTGCGGCGCAGGCTGCCAGTCCCAATGCTCCGGTTCCGCCTCCTCGCCCACTCCGCCTCCCACCACATCCCCTTCCCCCTCTCCTCCTCCCCCATCCCCCTCCCCTTCTCCGTCTTCTGCTTCTCCGCCGCCCCCGTCCGCCTCACCTCCCCCACCAACCGGCTCCGCTCCCCCCCCAACCGGCTCCGCTCCCCCCCCAACCGGCTCCGCTCCCCCCCCAACCGGCTCCGCTCCCCCCCCAACCGGTTCCGCTCCCCCCCCAACCAGCTCCGCTCCCCCCCCAACCGGCTCCCCTCCCCCATCTACTGGGCTGCAGCGCATGGCGTATTTCAAGAACGAGGCGGGCATGGACCCATCCCTCATCCCTGCTGCCAACCTCACGCATGTCTTTTACTCCTCTGCTTCCCTCGACCCCACCACATACAAGGTATGGCACCACACACAAGGCACAGGAGGTGTGAGTGCGTATGCCATGCTCTATTCGGTCATCTGCTCCGTGTAACCCTTCTTTTTCACATTCGCGGTAGTGAATTTTTGGATGCTTCGCTTTTCCTACCCTCTCCCCTCAACAGGTCGTCCCTTCCAACCCTGCAGTGCAGTGGACGTCACTCAGGGTCTCTGCCTTCAATGCCACCACCCCTTTTCACCCCTGACCCCTTACCTTTTCTCCCTTCACCTCTCAACAGGTCGTCCCTCACATCCCAGCAATTGACGTCAACGAGGGCCTCTATCTGCGCTTCAACTCTGCTGTAAAGACCGCCAACCCCGCCATAAAAACTCTCCTTTCCATCGGCGGCTATTTCAAATTCTCCACCGATTTCGCAAGCGCCACCTCCTCCCCGTCCTCCCGCTCTGCCTTCATCCAATCCGCGATCGCCCTCGCTCGCACGTACAACTTTGACGGTCTGGATCTCAACTGGGAGTACCCAATGGGCAACACCACCCTCTTTTCCACCCTGTTCACGGAATTCCGGGCGGCGATCGAATCCGAAGCTGCCGCCTCCGGGAAATCGAAGCTTCTGCTTTCTGCGACGGTTTCTGCATACGAGCCACTAATCACTCAGCCCTTCGATGTCCCGACGCTTAACAAAACACTGGACTTTGTTAATGTTAAGACTTACAATTTTATTGTGTCTTTGAATTCCCCCACGACCGGCATGCACACTGCTCTGGAGGATGTGAGCAACCCTGAGCTGAGCATCAAGGGCGCCATGGCTGCATGGGTGTCCCAAGGCTTGGCCCCAAGCAAAGCCATGGTAGGCTTGGCGATGTACGGCTGGACCTGGACGCTTGCCTCGACAAACAGCACTGGGGTTGGAGCTCCAGCCACTGGGCCTGGTCAGGTTAGCTCTCTTCTTTCATTTTTTCCTTCTCTCATTTTCTCCTCTGCTTTATGCTTCTCTCTTTCTCACATATTCACAGCCTTTTGTGATTTTTTTTTCCTTCCTAGCACACTTTCAGAGTGTCACTTCTACCTTTCTTATGGCGCCTTTGCAAGTAGCTTCAACCAACCTCTCATCACTCTCTCCCTTGACCTGCATATTCCCCCTCCACCCCACCAACAAAAAGGTTGATACCCTCTCTTACAAGGAAATCGAACAGCTGGTAACCACTGGAGGTTACACAGCTAAGCTCGACGCCCCAACATTCTCTATGTATGCGGTGAAGGGTGACCAGTGGGTTGGTTACGACGACCCTTCCACCATCACCACCAAGGTTCAGTTTGCCAAGGCGCAAGGCTATGGAGGGTGGTTCTGTTGGAGACTGGACCAGGATGCCAACAATGCTCTGGTCAATGCTGCAGCAGCTGCCTCTTGATTTGAACCCAACAGTCAGACAGTATGAGAAAAGTATAGAGTCTTATGCTTGTTAATACCTATTATAAGTGTAGACGAGTTGTTTGGAGTATGGAGGTGGATGTGTCAGTGTTTTAATTAATAGCGAGCTATTACCGTACATGCAGCCGCTTTCATACGCTCGTGTTTTCGTTCCTGACAATATCGAGGATGGTTATTCTGGGCATGGAGCCAACAGAGCTCTGCTCAATGCTGCAGCCGCTGCATGAGATGAAACCTAGGTAAATATTCTGGGAAAAGAATGTTCCACTAGTTCGTTTGTCTGATTTGTAGACAAGTTGATGAGGAGTTGTTGTATCAGATGAAGCTGGTTCCCAAGAGCCCCGTGTTCCGATTGTCCAAATTCGTGCCAATCTCGGGAAAAGAGGTGATGTCTGCGCGACACGCGTCACAAAGCCACTCGTGGTACCGCTAACTCGACTCACAGACACCACTCTGCCCCCATGCACAGTGCAGCAACCCCTCCCTCCTCCCAGTAACACAACCCTCCCGACCGCCGTCTCCTCCCCAGTAGCTACCAGGCGCACCCATGTGCCACCACCAGGCTGTGTGGAGCAGGCAGACAACGCCACACAGGGGGCCCACACAGGGGGCCCCACACAGGGGGCCCACACACACACACACACCCTGTAGACCATGCAGCAGTGGCTCGGCTGGACTCACACCACTCTGCCTCCGTGCACACACAGTGCACCAGTCACTCTCTCCCAGTCACACCACTCTGCCGCCCGCCATCTCCTCCCCCGTTGCTGCGAGCTGCGCCCACCTGCCGCCCGCAACCGCCCCTGCTGAGCTGGCAGAGTCTCTCAGACTGCCGTCTGCCTCGAGCTTCGCCTGCACCTGCTTCGCCATCAGGGCTAGGCCTGTGGGGGACAGGGCACACGATGGAAAGGGCAAAGAGAGACAGTTCACCTCGAGCTTTGCCTGCACCTGCCTCGCCATCAGGGCCAGCCCTGGCATACAAGAAACATGGAAACACCACACCACACCACACCACACCACACCATACAGTTGTTTGGAGCACAGCTAAAAAATATGGTAGCGTGTGTCAGTGGCTCGGAGTGGAGATAGCAGCTGGCTGGCAAAGTCACAGAGACTGCCGTCTGCCTCGAGCTTCGCCTGCACCTGCTTCGCCACACTCCCACATTCCTACACTCTACCCACAATCACACCCACGCCCACACCCACACCAACACCCGCACCCACACCCACACCCACACCCGCACCCACACCCACACCCACGCCCACACCCGCACCCACACCCACACCCACACCCTCCCCTTCCCCGCTACCTTTATTCTACACACACCCACACCCACACCCACACCCACACCCTCCCCTTCTCCGCTCCCTTTATTCTACACACACCGACACCCACACCCACACCCACACCGGCACCCAACTCATCCTGCACCATGCGGCTGACAGCCGTCCACTACGCTTCCACTCAGTGCATGATAGAAGCTTATCCTCTCACCCACTCACCCACTCACACTCACCCACTCATCCACGCCCACTCCCAACCCCCCCCACCCCTCCACACCCCCATGCATTCACTCACCCTGCACCACGCGGCTGACAGCCGTCCACCACTTGTCTTCCGACAGCTGTCGCCTCGTCAGCGCTGACGAGATCTCCTCGCTGCGCTGCCCCAAGCACTGCCTGCAGCACCTGGGCGGCATCCCTTGTCTCTTCTAGCACACCTCTCTGCAGTGGCAAGATGAAGCGAGGAGAGACAAGGAAGATCAGGAGGCACATGAAAGTTTGTTACCAGATGTCTCAACATGGAAAACGGAGAAAGAAGAGAGGAGGCCAGGAGGATGGAAATGGAAAAATGGCCTGTCCTGTGTGTGTGTGTGTGTGTGTGTGTGAGTGTGCGTGTGTGTGTTATTTTGTGACTGTAAGAACACTCTCTATGAAATATGAGGTCACTCGAGCCATATGTGATGGAGGAGAATGAAGCACTTGGGGAGCAGCTCAAGAACAGGAGGAATGGTTGATTGTGGGTTGCCACAGCAACGTATTTTTTGCGGATTACCTGGTAGATGTTGGCTTGCCAATCGTGTGGCGAACTGGCTGTATATTGAGTTGACTCCAAACACGCTTAGGAACAGGAGGACCCGTTGATCATGGATTGTCTGGTGCATGGATTGCCAATGGTGTGGCCAGCGGGCTGTACCTGGAAGGTTGGCGGCTGTGTGACGGCCACAAGTGCGCCGTTCTCTCCTTCCTCCCCCTCGCTGTCGTTGCACATTGCCTGCACACAACTCACAGGGCGAATCAGAGTTATTAGAGAACCGATGTTAGGGTGCCTCGTGTCCTTCTTCCTGTCCTTCCTCTCGCTGTCGCTGCACATGGCCTGCACACGCAAACCTAAAGAGAGAGGGGAGAGGGGGCGAGGGAGGGAGATTGAGTAAAGAGATGAAGGGCCTAAAAAATGAGGTGCGCACCTCTTCGTCTCCCCCATCTCCCCGCCTTGCTGCCATTGCACACGGCACCAGCACATGCAAGCCCATGCAAGCTCCAACCAGTCATGGTGTCAATCAGTCATGGCGTGACGACTGTCAGTCACCTAAGATTTGCACGACGGTCATAGCACACACCTGCAGGTCCCTATGGGACGAGGTGAGAGTGAGAGTCGGAGAGCCCACTGGGCGTCAATGGCCCACCGCCACTTGGCTTTTGAGTCAACTCAAAAGGCGGCAGTGGCCCACCGCAACTTGACCAGTGAGAAGCATGCACGCCCCTAGCATGTTCCCGCAACCTGCAAGCATGCACGTCTATAGCACATCACCCACCTGCAGGTCCTGCTGTGAGGACGTGAGCATGAGAGCCAGAGCCGACTGGGCTGCTGTGGCCCACCGCCACTCTCAGACTGCAACCCACAGCACCTCTAGAGCACCCACCTGCAGGTCCCTCTGGGAAGACGTGAGTGTGAGAGCGAGAGCCCACTGGGCGGCAGTGGCCCACCGCCACTTGGCCGCCTCGCGCGCCATCTGCTTCTCCTGTGCCGCCGCCCGGCCGGCAAGCTCGTCTGCTAGCGCCACCTCCCCCAGCGCCACACTGCGCAGATACTTGGCGGTCTGAGGCCCCGTGCTGCGCACCATTGCTGCAAAGACGCTGTTTTCAATACCAGGTTGGTGGGAGTGTCGTACTCTAGGGCCTGAGAGGGAAGTGGGAGGGATGAGGAGAGGTAAGGGGGAGTTGGGGGAAGAGCAGGTACTTGGCGGTCTGAGGGCCCGTGCTGCGCACCATCGCTGCAAACACATTGGCCTCGTTTAGGACTAGGTTGGCTGGAGTGTCGTACTCAAGTGCCTGGGTGGGATGAAGAAGAGGAGAAGCGTGTGAGTACTTGGCAGTCTGTAGCTCCGTTGCTGCACACCATGGCTGCGAACACACTGCCTTCGTTCAACACCAGGTTGGCTGGCGTGTCGTACTCCAGTGCCTGGACGAGGAAATGGAGGGAGGGAATGGTCGAAATGGTGAGGTGGAGGTAGGGAGTTGACTTTTGAGTCGACTCAAAACTGGTGAGGTGGAGGTAGGGAGTTGACTTTTGAGTCGACTCAAAACTGGTGAGGTGGAGATAGGGAGTTGACTTTTGAGTCGAGTCAAAACTGGTGAGGTGGAGGTAGGGCAGGTACCTGGCGGACGGGGGGCCCGTGCTGCGCACCATAGCAATAAGCTGGCATGCAAAATCGAATCCAATCAAATCAGCTCACCATGCCAGCATCCATGACCAGAAGAATTCTGTCGCTATCCATGATGGTGTTGAGCCTGTGGGCAATCGTCAGCGTGGTGCGACCCTTGAACTCCTCTTGCCTTGTACCCAATCCACAAACCCCACCACCTCGCCTCCCTCATTTTCTCACCATGGCGACATCCATGACCAGAAGAATACTGTCGCTATCCATGACGGCGTTGAGCCGGTGGGCGATCGTGAGCGTGGTGCGACCCTTCAATTCCTCTTACCTTGTACCCAACCCTCAAACCCCACCACCTCGCCTCCCTCATTTTCTCACCATGGCGACATCCATGACCAGAAGAATACTGTCGCTATCCATGACGGCGTTGAGCCGGTGGGCGATCGTGAGCGTGGTGCGACCCTTCAATTCCTCTTACCTTGTACCCAACCCTCAAACCCCACCACCTCGCCTCCCTCATTTTCTCACCATGGCGACATCCATGACCAGAAGAATACTGTCGCTATCCATGACGGCGTTGAGCCGGTGGGCGATCGTGAGCGTGGTGCGACCCTTGAATTCCTCTTACCTTGTACCCAACCCACAAACCCCACCACCTCGCCTCCCTCATTCTCTCACCATGCTGCCATCGATGACCAGGATCCTGTCGCTATCCATGATGGTGTCGAGCCTGTGGGCGATCGTCAGCATGGTGCGACCCTTAAACTCTTCGTGCCTTGTACCCAACCCACAAACCCCACCACCTCGCCTCCCTCATTCTCTCACCATGCTGCCATCGATGACCAGGATCCTGTCGCTATCCATGATGGTGTCGAGCCTGTGGGCGATCGTCAGCATGGTGCGACCCTTAAACTCTTCGTGCCTTGTACCCAACCCACAAACCCCACCACCTCGCCTCCCTCATTCTCTCACCATGCTGCCATCGATGACCAGGATCCTGTCGCTATCCATGATGGTGTCGAGCCTGTGGGCGATCGTCAGCATGGTGCGACCCTTAAACTCTTCGTGCCTTGTACCCAACCCACAAACCCCACCACCTCGCCTCCCTCATTCTCTCACCATGCTGCCATCGATGACCAGGATCCTGTCGCTATCCATGACGGCGTCGAGCCGGTGGGCGATCGTCAGCATGGTGCGACCCTTGAACTCCTCTTGCCTTGTACCCAACCCACAAGCCCCACCCCTCATTCTCTCACCATGCTGCCATCGATGACCAGGATCCTGTCGCTATCCATGACGGCGTCGAGCTTGTGGGCGATCGTCAGCATGGTGCGACCCTTGAACTCCTCTTGCCTTGTACCCAACCCACAAACCCCACCACCTCGCCTCCCTCATTCTCTCACCATGCTGCCATCGATGACCAGGATCCTGTCGCTATCCATGACGGCGTCGAGCCGGTGGGCGATCGTCAGCATGGTGCGACCCTTGAACTCCTCTTGCCTTGTACCCAACCCACAAGCCCCACCCCTCATTCTCTCACCATGCTGCCATCGATGACCAGGATCCTGTCGCTATCCATGATGGTGTCGAGCCTGTGGGCGATCGTCAGCATGGTGCGACCCTTAAACTCTTCGTGCCTTGTACCCAACCCACAAACCCCACCACCTCGCCTCCCTCATTCTCTCACCATGCTGCCATCGATGACCAGGATCCTGTCGCTATCCATGACGGCGTCGAGCCGGTGGGCGATCGTCAGCATGGTGCGACCCTTGAACTCCTCTTGCCTTGTACCCAACCCACAAGCCCCACCCCTCATTCTCTCACCATGCTGCCATCGATGACCAGGATCCTGTCGCTATCCATGACGGCGTCGAGCTTGTGGGCGATCGTCAGCATGGTGCGACCCTTGAACTCCTCTTGCCTTGTACCCAACCCACAAACCCCACCACCTCGCCTCCCTCATTCTCTCACCATGCTGCCATCGATGACCAGGATCCTGTCGCTATCCATGACGGCGTCGAGCCGGTGGGCGATCGTCAGCATGGTGCGACCCTTGAACTCCTCTTGCCTTGTACCCAACCCACAAGCCCCACCCCTCATTCTCTCACCATGCTGCCATCGATGACCAGGATCCTGTCGCTATCCATGACGGCGTCGAGCCTGTGGGCGATCGTCAGCATGGTGCGACCCTTGAACTCCTCTTGCCTTGTACCCAACCCACAAACCCCACCACCTCGCCTCCCTCATTCTCTCACCATGCTGCCATCGATGACAAGGATCCTGTCGCTATCCATGATGGTGTCGAGCCTGTGGGCGATCGTCAGCATGGTGCGGCCCTTGAACTCCTCGGCTCTGCCCTGTACCCAACCCATAGACTCCGCCACTCGTCTCCTTTACTCACGCACCATGTCGGCATCCATGACCAGGATCTTGTCGCTATCCATGATGGTGTTGAGCCGGTGAGCGATGGTCAGCATGGTTCGCCCCTTGAATTCCTCGCCCACATCAACGGTTTTCGTCGCTTCATCCAACACCAAAATGCGCAACTCCTTGAACAGCGCCCGCGCCAGGCTGATCAGCTGCCTCTGCCGCACGCTGAAGTTCTCCCCTCCCTCTGCTACCTGAAGTGGGGTGAAGTGAAATGGGAAAACGATTAGTTGTACCCATCTCAGCCCCTCCTTGAGCAGCGCCCTAGCCAGGCTGATCAGCTGCCGCTGCCCCACACTGAAGTTCTCCCCTCCCTCCGCCACCTGTGGGGAAGAATCCGCGACATGCGGGATAGCACCTCCCCAACACCTCGGTACCAGCACTGTCTAGGTACAACTATCTTCCCTTCCCTTACACTCACCTCCGTGTCCTGCTCCAGCGGCATGCGAGATACCACCTCCCTCAGGTGCGCCCTCCCCATTGCCTCCCACACCTCGCTGTCACGGCGCTTATTGAACGGATCCATGTTGACATGCGATGTGCCTGGAGGGGGTGGAGGGGGGATGAATGGGGGCGGAAGGAGGGATGGAGGAGGGGAAGGGGGCGGAGGGGGGTCGGAATGGGGGATGGAAGGAGGGGAGAGGGGAAAACAGGGGGGGATGGACGGAGAGGGTCAAGAGCCTTCTGAGTCTCTCCCTCCCTCCCACACCTCCTCATCGCCAGGTGACTTCTGAGTATACCCAATTTTTTCTGCCATGGCTCCTAACTAGGGCTCGATTGAGCCTTCTGAGTCCCTCCCTCTATCCCTCCTTCCCATTCCTACCACCCTCCCACACCTCGTTGTCACTTTGCTTAGACCTACTATGGGTACTTGGTCACAACCGCACCTCCTATTGTTTGCCCAAGCCGCACCCCCTAGGACCAGAATGACAACAAAGGCATGCCATAACACCTCTATTTCCTCCCCTCCCTTCCCTCGAATTTCCCGAAACTCGTCCCCTTTTCCCCCCGTTCTCCGTCTCCCCTTCCCCCACCCTCCCATTCTCCCCTTCTCTTCCCTTCCAGGTCACAGGCATCTACTATGTTGACTCTCACAACATCACCGAGTCGCGCCTTCAATCACTATTCTTCTTCCTTCCTTCCCTTCCACCACCCTCTGCCCTGCCGTCCCCCCTCTCCCCTTACTCACCAACCCCCAGGCCACGAGCATCTACTATTTTGACTCTCACAACATCACTGAATCGAGCCTTCAATACAGGATCACCATTGTTGAACCAGACTACAACCAGAATGACAACAAAGGCATGCCATAATACCTCTAGTTCCTCCCTCCCCTCCCTTTTTCTCCTTCCCATCCTCTTTTTCCCCTCCCCCCCCCCCGCTCTCTTCCCTGCCCTTTCTCCCCTTCCCCCTTCTCCCTCACCCTTTCCCCCCTTCCCCCTTCTCCTCTTCCCCGTCTCATCCCAGGCCACAGGCATCTACTATTTCGACTCTAACAGCATCACTGAATTTCGCCTTCAATTCAGAATCACCGTTGCCGAACCAGACTATGACCAGAACGACAACAAAGGCGTGGATCGGATATACAGCCTGGTGGACGACGGACCTCTCACCAAACCTCTAAGCTCGGTCCGGACCGACATCCCGAACCTCTGCCTCGCCTTCCCTAACCACTACCACCACCGAGTCGCACCATTTGAGCTACAGGCCACCAGAAAATTCTTGTATTTTTCCTGGTGGACCCGCAGGTGCCGATCGTATCTACTGTGCGTGTGCCAGCTCAGCAGCTGAGCTGCCAGAGAAGGGAACTTGAAAGGAAAGGTAATCTGTATCCTGTCCTGCCTGGGTTAGCTCTAGACCTAATTGCACAGGGAGTGGGTGCACTCACTCATGTCCTCTCTGTTCATTATATATCTATGTACTGATATTAACACCTAGAAATATATATATATATATATAGGTATACTTAGAAAATCAGAATGACTGTTCAGATTTCCTCAGAAACGTTCTCAACCGATATCACCAAACAGAAGCGAACGAAGTCGCAAGACAACCAATAATTTTCTTTCACATAGGCGAAATCCTAAACTCCTCAGTAACGTTCGGAAACGGATCCTACCAAACAAAAATGAAATCCCAAGGTCTGCCTTCGATGTTCTCCTCTCAAATTCGACCAGGCTGACAGTCTTCCTCTCCCCCAACTGACCCCATTCCGTGGCTTTCAAGGGATGGCATTGGGCTGTGCGTGGTTTGAAAGGCTTGTAGACAGACCACCATTATTCTGGTGTCAGACGCCTGTTGTAGCTCGTATTTCCTGAGTCCACTCCGAGTAATAATCGTCCAGCCCAGGCGTCAGTCTGAGTAAGGGCGGCCGCGCGTCCGTGACGGAAGCGTTCTTCCGTTGCAGCGATTATTGTAACGTAACCGCCACGCTTCGAGTCGCGACGTTATGGGTGTTTCTACGATGAAACCGCCACTCACGGCGAGTCCGCTGCACCCGTCCCTGTCATACTATATAGCAGATCCTTGCCCCGTCACTTCTCACCAGACGCCATCACTCGAACCATTTCAACTCAACCATTTCTCAGTCTCTGCATTTCAACTCAACCATCCCAGCAGCAGCCTCACCTCTTTTCCGCGCCGATCTTCACCGATCAGAACCGATTCTCCTACGGCATTCTGATCTAGCCACTCGTGATTCTCAGAGGCGAATCTCATCCATCCGTTCTGCGCGTCATAAGCCGTCGCCCACGGTCACTCTCCTCTCCCTGATCATCGCTTTGCAAGTCGGATCAACTCGGCCGATCATGGCGATTATACTACCGTCGCTGCCGCGGTCTCCCCTCCTCCTCCTCCTGCTCGCGCTGGTGCTGCTCTCGGCGGCGATCTCTCCCTCCGCGCGCGCGCAGAGGAGTCGTGCTCCGCCTCCGCGCCGTGCGCCAACAACCTCTGCTGCAGCAAGTGGGGCTGGTGTGGCTCCACCGCCGATCACTGCGGCGCTGGCTGCCAGTCCCAGTGCTCCCCTTATGCCTCCTCGCCCACTCCGCCTCCCACCACATCCCCTTCCCCCCCTCCTCCTCCCCCATCCTCCTCCCCTTCTCCGCCTTCCGCTTCTCCGCCGGCCCCGTCCGCCTCACCTCCGCCCCCAACTGGCTCCGCTCCCCCCCCAACCGGCTCTGCTCCCCCCCCAACCAGCTCCGCTCCCCCCCCAACCAGCTCCGCTCCCCCCCCAACCAGCTCCGCTCCCCCCCCAACCAGCTCCGCTCCCCCCCCAACCGGCTCCGCTCCCCCCTCTACTGGGCTGCAGCGCATGGCGTATTTTGTCAACACGGCGGGCATGGACCCATCCCTCATCCCTGCTGCCAACCTCACGCATGTCTTCTACGCCTTTGCTTCCATCAACACCAGCACATACCAGGTACGCGACTGTCTTGTCTCGTCATCCACTCTTCTCCGTGCCAATTGGAGCAGGTATTTATTTATCTATTTTTTTCCATTCTCAGTCGTCTCATGCTTGTGAGTTTCTCATTCCGCTGCAAGGCACACTACATGTTTTTCGAGCTAGCAGTCTCGGCTGCCTCATTCCCCACGAGAAGGTTCTCTTGCCTCTCAGACTCAGATGCGCTGTTTCGTTTCCCCCTCTCAGATTCCTACACCTTGATGACCTATCACCTCCCATGTTTCTTCCCTCCCCATTCCAGGTCGTCCCTTCCAACCCAGCCGTCGATGTGACCCAGGGCCTCTATCGGCGCTTCAACTCCGCTGTAAAGGCCGCCAACCCCGCCATCAAAACCCTCCTCTCCATCAGCGGCTATGTCGACGTTTTTGACAACAACGTTATCGGCAACGCCTCCTCCTCCCCGTCCTCCCGCTCTGCCTTTATTCAATCCGCGATCGCCCTCGCCCGCACGTACAGCTTTGACGGCCTGGATGTCTACTGGAAGTACACAACGGGCAACGCCACCCTGGTCTCCGCCCTGCTCACGGATTTCCGGGCGGCGATCGAATCCGAAGCTGCCGCCTCTGGGAAATCGAAGCTTCTGCTTTCTGCGGCAATTCCTGCCTACGGGCAGACTGAAGGTCTATCCTATGACGCCCCGACGCTTAACAAAACACTGGATTTTGTGAATTTTAAGACTTACGATCTGTCTGGGTGGAGGACCCTCATGCACACTGCTCTGGAGGACCTGAGCAATCCCCAGAAGAGCATCAAGGGTGCCATGGCTGCCTTGGTGTCCCGAGGCTTGGCCCCGAGCAAGGCCATGGTAGGCTTGGCGATGTACGGCCAAACCTGGACTCTTGCTTCGACAAACAGCACTGGGGTTGGAGCTCTTGCCGTTGGGCCTGGTCAGCCTGGGCCTATCAGTCAGGTTAGTCCCCTTTTCCTGGTTCTCCTCTGCATCGTGCGTCCCTCCCTTCCTCGCATAATCACGAACCATTTTGTGTTTCCCCTACGTTTCCTTCTTTCTCTCCTTGCTCTTACAATTGCAGGGTACTCATTCCTGTTCCTAAAAGATGCAAGCAATCAGCCCCAAGCAGGCTCTCATCACCCTCTTCCTTGGCCTGCATATTCCCTATCCCTCTCCACCCCTCCCACAGAAACCTGGTATCCTCTATTACAAGGAAATCGATCAGCTGGTAACCACTGGAGGTTACACCGCTACGCTCGACGCTCCATCCTCATGCATGTATGCAGTGAAGGGTAACCAGTGGGTTGGTTACGACGACCCTTCCACCATCACCACCAAGGTTCAGTTTGCCAAGGCGCAAGGCTATGGAGGGTGGTTTTTCTGGGAACTGAGCCAGGATGCCAATTATGCTCTGCTCAATGCTGCAGTAGCTGCATGAGATGAAAGCCACAGTAATGAATCTTATGCTTGTCAATTTTTGTTTCTAGTGTAGACGCGTTTATTTGGAGTCACAGGTGAATTTGTCACTGTTTCAATTGAGACAGAAATGCACCCGTTTTTTCAAGCTCGTGATTCAACCTGTCAAACTAGAGGGTACTGCAGCTGTTTAGTGAACTGAGCCATGATGCCAACAATGCTCTTCTTGATGCTGCAGCCCCTGCATGAGATGAACCTTTTGTAGACACCGTGAAAAAAACAATATTCCATTGATTCATCTGTTCGAAGTGTAGACAAGTTGATTGGTGGTCTGTCAGTTTTTCCAAGGGTGAATCACATCGCTCTGCCCCCATGCACAATGCAGCAGCAGTCCCTCCCAATCACACCACCCTCCCTCCCACCCGCCATCTCGCCCCTCGTTGCTGCCAGCTGCGCTACAACTGCCCGTATTGAGCCTGGAGGAGCAGGCAGAGCCGCACATGCCGCCCGCAATTGCAGAGCCACAGCATGCAATTCGCAGCAGTCCCTCCCAGTCACACCACTCTGCCGCCCGCCATCTCCTCCCCCGTTGCCGCCAGTTGCGCCCACCTGCCGCCCGCCGCCGCCCCTGCTGAGCTGGCGGAGTCTCTCAGACTGCCGTCCGCCTCGAGCTTCGCCTGCACCTGCCTCGCCATCAGGGCTAGGCCTGGGGATACGTAGTGACACGGGCGAAGAAAGGCAGAAAAAGGGCATGTTGAGACGTCTACAGGTGTTGCAGAGTGAATTGGGAGTGGGAATGCTGTCTGCCTCGGGCTTCGCCTGCAGTGATAAGTCGATTTTTGAGTCGACTCAAAAATCGACTTATCACACACGAATGCTGTCTGCCTCGGGCTTCGCCTGCACCTGCTTTGCCATGAGGGCCAAACCTGAGCGGCACAGGCGAACAGGGAGAAATTGTAGAGTGTAGAGTGAATGCATTGTACAGAGTTACATTAGCATTGATTGCCGCTGAACAAGTTACAGTGGCCGTGTCCCGCCTTCAGCTTCGCCTGCACCTGCCTCGCCATGAGGGCTGGCCTAGCCCTGGGGGGCTTTTGAGAATAGCAAGGAAACATTGTAGAGTGGATGTGGATTAAAACCGGGATAGAATACCCACTTGGTCATTTAACCAACTTCGAGAAATCAGTTGGCCTGATGGCTTGATGCAGTGGATGGAAAGTTGTACAGTGTTTGCATGACAGAGGCTCATC